TCAGCCGCAGCTAGACACACACACACACACACACACACTGTCGCCCCACCTGACTGATTCGGACTGAAATGTTATCATGGGAACCACATGACTGACAGGCTTCTCAGCCACTTAATGTCAACACCTCGACTGGCAGAAAACCGGGGGAAAAACATAGCACTCTTAAATTGTATTTATTTTCCAGTTGTTTTTTTACATTACGATTGACATATTTTTATTTTTATTTTTCACGATAACAGTTTTTATTGGGCAATGTAGCTACTGGTAAAAATCTTAAGGAACTAAGGTTATCTTCAGTGTCAACCAACGATTGCCCGTTATAGGTTGTTTGGGTTTCGCGAGTTTTTTTCACGAGTTCCACAATCGGTTCCACAACTGCACTCGCATGTCGATTCTTTCGTATCGCGATTGAATCTTCCAATTAAACCAATTAATTCGATGCGGCCCCCCCTCAGAAATATTAATGAATCCCCCCATCTAAACATTAAAAAACATTGATATAAACATATATAAATATATTGATAATGTAAAATAATAATAATTAAGAACACATTTTATATTATTGTTTTAAAAATGGGTAAAATAACCCAGCGAGGGACAGCGAGCGAGACAGCGCGAAAGTGTCGAGTGGAAAAACGGAGCTCGGCTGAGCACTCGTATCACGAGAAAAAAAATCTAGCAAAAGTTGCTAACTCGTAAATTTCGGGTCGCTCGTATCTCGAGGTCCGACCGGAATTCGGTTTGTGCGCATTCGAGGATAGTATGAGGACGAGCTGAGAGACTTTTAAAATAGTTCAAAAGAGGGACAAAAAACAAAAAAAGAAACAGTGGCCAAGTTGCTGTATCGGTTTTTAATGTTAATGAAAATGCGCTACATGCAAAAAATGCGTAAAAAGAGAAAAAAAAAAAGGGTTTTCAGCCCCGCAAACAACTCCTGATGCCTCGTGCTCTTTGTCAAGTCAAGCTAATCCATTCAGACGGACCCCAGATTCCTGCAACATTTGTCAACTTAAAACCAGATGCTTACAGTAGGAACTTCAACTGACTCGGAAGCTAAAGAAATATTTGAGGACCTCACTCTTTACACTGTTGACTTTACGTCATCATAGTCTGACGGTCTCTCAACCGGTGTAAATGTTTAAATAAAAAGAAAATGGAAAAAAAAAAAAAAACGAAAAAAAGAAAAGATGAAATCATGAAAATAGCCATCGTAGAAGTACGACAGCTAAGCCATGGTGAAATGTGATGATGAATGAATGTGAGTCAGAGAGCGAATGATGTTGAGTCCAACTGACAGTGGAGCTGCAGCGGCAGTGAAGGGTGAGTTGGCGTTCTCTTTAGCCTTCGGGCCCTGGTAGTTGCTGTGGCTTTGAAGTAAGTAATATTAGATACTAGATCCGAGTTGTTTTATTGCCAGTCATCTGATCGGAAATGAGGCGGCGTCTCAGTGCTCGCTGCGGTTCATAAATCACTGTCATATTACTCCTGCTGTCCCATCGGTATTCAAAGAAACAAATTAGCATGCATGTTAGCTGCGGTGTTGTCATTATCCTTAACAATATAACCGTAATTTCTGGACTATTGAGCGCACCTGAATATAAGCCGCACCCACTAAATTGAAAAAAAAAGAATCGTACATATATAGGCCGCGCTATTCTATAAGCCGCAGGTGTCCACGTTGTAACATTGGATATTAAATAAATTTTTTTTTTCCGAACAGTGCCTGTAACACGGCTAGTTACACGTTAGCTCATTCCGGCTTCGGCGCCCCGACTGTATGTTGGAATGCACAGGGGAGACTTAGTGATCTGCTACAGGTCCGGCGCTAACATTAGCTACGGGGCTAGCTCCCTTCACTTTGTGCTTGTCTGCAGCAGAGGTAAACAGAAAAAGATAACTCTATTATCAGCCGCACCGAGCACTACAGAACATGAACAGCTCCTGTATGCTACCTGCACATATACGTACGCACACAGCCATTCACAGACAGACATACGCTACTAGTGTAACACACAGTAACCTACCAGAAATGTCATTGAAAGCTAGCGGTATAAACTTCGTTAGCCCGTAAAAATCCATAAACTAGCCGCATCATTGTTTAAGCCGCAGGGTTCAAGGCGTGTGAAAAAAATTAGCGGCTTATAGTCCGGAAATTACCGTAATCTACACTATATTACCAAAAGTATTCGCTCACCTGCCTTGACTCATACCATGAACTGAAGTGCCATCCCATTCCATCGTATTTTATTAGCTACAGTTGTTGCTTTGGGAGTCTACATAACCCAGCAACACATGTTATGCATCTATGACATCTCGCCACGTGATTGGTTCAACCCAGTCCATTGTTGACATAGCATAGATGACATTGTTTTATTTTTTTTTACATAATTGTATTTTTAAACAAAATATATTGACTGTATGCAATAAATTAGACACACTTAATTATACCTTTATTTAAATGGTGGCACCGACTAAGACTTTTTTTTTTTGGTGTGTTCTTGAAGACAACATTTTTTTTTTTGGTAAATACATTGACCTCTTTATAGAGAAAGATGTCCTCCTAAATGTCTACGTCATGTTGTCTTTTGTCAAACTACGTATCAAAAACTGCTGTGCTTCGTTTCCCCTTCGTTTTACTCCTCCACCTCTACGTTTTCTTTTAACCGTCCCACAAAAATTCCCTTCGGGGGAACCAGTTAAATATCCAGCTATCTACCAGAATATCGACAGCCACGGGAGTGAAACCGTTCCCGTGACTACAGCCGTCGTGTGTGTGTGTGTGTGTCCGCGCCAGTTTCTCGTCGCCACTATTGATCGTTATTGATCCGACCCCTCGTGCTGCAGCTGTACGCTAACGCCATCTGTCTTTTACTGTCTTGCCGTTTAACTGAATTGATAAAACACTGATAAAGAACACCAGCCATATATCTTTTCTGTAGTTCGGCGCTTTTGAAATACTTGTTTGTTCCGTGGCTAGACCTTTCCAGCTGTCGTCGGGCAAGTGGGGGAGGGGGATGCGTACACCTAGGAAGATTCACCGGTCCATCAAAGCCACATTTAGAGACAGCAAATATGCACTTTTTTTTTTTTTCAGCTGAAAAAATCAGCTGAAAAAAATCAGCTATTGGCCTGATAGAAATGAAATTTAACCCCGTGTTGTCCTAGGGTCTAGGTCAGTGGTTCCCAAAGTTTTTTTTCAGAGGACCGTTAATTTAAAAATCACAAACCTTTGCGACCCAAGTCAATAGACATTATTCGTAAACTGGGAAACGATGATGATGCAAGACGACCCCCAAAAAAAATCTCTTGCGACCCACCTGAGGGTCGCGACCCATGCGGGTGTGCGCTCCTGCGTCGCTGATAATATGTCTTTGTGTATGTGTGTGTGCGGGTGTGCGCTCCTGTGCTGCACGGCTTGTTCCAACTTTTCCTCATTCTGCGACAAGATGCAAGCCGGTTGCGAGGACGCTGGGTGTGTACAAAATACAAAAAAAAAAAAAAAAAAACGCTAGGGTTAAAAAATTTTAGTTATAAGACCTAACCTAAAATAATGCAAAACAACATTACAAAATTGATTAAATATTATTAACATTAACATGAATGAAAGGGGAGTCAAAATGTAATCAAGCATTGTAACATAACAGCTTCCCCCCCCCTCCCCCCCGTTCTGTACTCTGCCGAACAGCTAGCTCGGTGTTCTTCACTAAGTGGCCGGGATCTTAAATTACAACTCTCATAAATTGCTTGTAAGTGCAATCACTATAACGATGAAAGTGTATTTGGCAGGACATCGTTATTGCTTTTGCAAGAACTTAAGCCTCTTGGCGCTGATTTAAGGAGATGTTGGATTTATTTTAAGCATTGAGGAGGGTGTACATTTTTCAGTTTGAAGTTGTTGTTTTTTTTTTTTTTTCCTTTTTTTTGCTTTTTGGTTTTGGGGTTACTGTTCTTTATTTTTATTTAGGTGAAACCCAGGCTTCTATTCATACTATTACCGTCAAGTTTATCCGGTTTAATTGACTTATTGTAATTTAAGCCACATTTGTGGTTCCGTAGTGCAGCGGTTAGCATGCCTCGGAAGCGCAAAGCAGTTAGCCCTGGGTTCGGTTCCCAGAGGAACCACATGCTTGGCGTCTGCAAGGGGCAGCCTGTTATTGTTATTGTTATTATTATTATTATTAAAGATGTATGTTAATTACGGATGTTTGATATTAACTTTTTGCCGATATCCCATATGTCGATATTGTCCAAACTTTTTTCCGATATCAACTGATACCGATATAGCGGGCAAGCGGTGGCCTGGTTAAGAAAATGAAGCGTCGCCTGTTCACTAAGACGATGGGTTAAAACAGTGTTTCTCAATTATTTGTAACCACTGCATGAGTTGCTTGCACCATTATTCTGCATACAATCCCCCCCGATTAACAAATTAGATTAATAAAATGAGCTGCAATGCTGCCATCTAGTGACTAGAGACGTGTTTATCACTCATAATGTTCTGTTCACGTGAGGTATGGAAATTGGAGTGTGTGTATGAGGAAGAGAGAGTGCGGAGAGTGTGAGAGGAGGAAGATGCGAATTTGGAGAAGCTGGGTTGAGAGCGATAAAGGAGTTTAGCACGAGAAATTTCAATTGCGTTTCCATAAAAGTTCTTTAGAGTACTGAGGCATCTGATTGGTCTGTCGCCAATCGGGGCATTAAAGTATTTTTAGAGCACACTTTATTAGGCAAAACCCAAGGCAATGCGCTATGGGGTTTTCATTATCGGAGGAAACACTGATAACGATTCTTGCAGATATTACAAAATATGCTAATATCGGGCTGAGAATATTGGTCGGCCAATATTATCGGACATCCGTAATATAGTCTGTGCCTACATTACAAATCTTTGAATCTTCCTTTTTCAGGCAAAACTGGATAAAGAAATAAACAATTCTTCAGTCAGAGTTTTTCCTATGAACTTTTCCTTAATCCTTACCTTTTTTTCGTCTTTCCCTTAGGACCATGGGGCCGATGTATGGGCAGCGAGTGTGGCCCTGGAGGCGGTCAGAGCAGAGCGGTGTGGTGCGCACACTCTGAAGGCTGGACCACCCTGCACACCAACTGCAATCAGACGGAGCGCCCGGACAACCAGCAGAGCTGCTTCAGAGTGTGTGACTGGCACAAAAACCTGTACGACTGGCAGCTGGGGACATGGAACGAGTGTGTCCCCGTTTCGCTGCGCAGCGCCGGGGTGCAGCGCCCCGCTGTGTGCACCTGGGGAGAAGAGGGCATCCAGACCCGTGAGGTGGACTGCGTCCAAAAGGCAAACGGAGAACCAGCGGAGGATGCAATCTGCGAGTACTTCGAGCCCAAGCCCCGCCTCGAGCAGGCGTGCATTATACCTTGTCCCCGGGACTGCGTGGTTTCCGAGTTCAGCCAGTGGACCTCTTGCTCAAAAACGTGTGGAATGGGCTTACAGAACCGCATCCGTTTCGTACTGTCGCCGCCACTGTTCGGCGGGGCGGTTTGCCGATATCTTGCTCAAAAACGTGTGGAATGGGCTTACAGAACCGCATCCGTTTCGTACTGTCGCCGCCACTGTTCGGCGGGGCGTTTTGCCCAAACCTAACTGAATTCCAAACATGCCAGCTGGGACTGTGCGAAGGAGAAGAGAATCTTTACAGCCTCAGGGTAGGACCCTGGGGGTCCTGCTCTGTACCACTGCCAAGGCAAGCCAGACAAGCTGGCAGACCACCCAGAGACAGCGAGAAATCATCTGGAGAAAGTGATAAGCTCTCTAAGGAGGGAGAGAAACAGTCAAGAGGAAATGATAAACCTTTCAGAGGGGGTGATAAACACTCCAGAGAGACCGTTCCCCAGCCTGGCGAGGGAGAAAAGCAGTCAAAAGGAGGGGATAAGCCTGGCAAGGAGGGTGAGAAACAGCGGAAGGACAAGGACAAATTAGCCAAAGGGGTCGTCAAACTACCGAGAAACAGAGATAAACCGTCCAAGGAGAACCGTAAACTAAGCAGAGCGAACACCAAATCCGACGGTCCGTCTCGGCAGGCGGACAGGCCCAAACGGCAGAAAAAAGCGAAAAACAAGGACAAAAGAGAGAAAGTCAGAGAAAGGTTAAGAGAGAGGGGAAAGGCAAAGGACCCGGAGACAAGAGAACTCATCAAGAAGAAGAGGACCAGGAACCGTAAAAACCGCGTGGGAGGAAAGTTCTGGGACCTCCAGGTTGGCTCCCAATCCCGGGAAGTGACCTGTGTCCACAAAAATGGAAACGTTGAAGCTCTAAGGTGAGACAATTCATTTTTACCTCTGAAAATCCCTTAAAATGCTGCCCTTTTCAATAATAATAATTTAGTGTAATCTTCACAAAAAAAATTGTCTTGTAACGAGAGGTGGAAAGTAACTAGTTACATTCACTCACCTAAAAGTAATTGAGTAGTTTTTGTAGTAGTTTCGGGTATAGGTAATTTTACTTTTACTCAAGTACATTTTGACTTGACTTGTATTTTACTTTGCTGCATTGGAAAAGAATCCGTTACTGATTGAAAAATGAAATCAGAGGAAAACAGTCTACGTCAACTTGGAGGAAATTGCGTTACGGATTTCCCACTGTTTTAATGTACCCAGAGAACGTTGACTAAGAGACAGACTGTAGCCTGTCGTTGGACGACGGCTGGTGCCGAACCAAAAAAATGGAGGTTGAGGATTGCCAAGCAGGGAACTCCCGTGGAGCAGAAGACTTAGAAGGAGAAGGAAATCCTTGGCAATATCTCAGCTAGCTCTTTGTTTTTCGATTACAAACAAGGCAATAACTTGTCACTGTCAAAACTTAAGTGCGCTCTAGTGGCTAAAAATCGCAGTACAGTTGTTCAAACGGATCATAATTCGTTGTTGATCAATTCTCAATTGATCGTTTATATACGTCAAATAATTTGAAGTAACTAAGTTACTTTTTTTACTCAAAGTAAATTTTAAATTAAGTATTTAAGTATTAAGTTTTTTTTTTTTTTACTTTGAAATCAAGTCAATTTTTAGATTGGTACTTTTACTTTTACTTAAGTAAAAAACTACTTAGTTACATTTTTTTTTCTACTTTTTCCACCTCTGCTTGTAACTATTCATTGTTGCGTGAAACCAAGGTTGGCGTAGTATCCAGACTTTCTTTAATGCCGTTTTAACGGGATCGTAGCCCGGCTTTTAATAATGCCACTGTAAAGGGCTGCAGTTGTGACGCTAAAGGCTGTGAAGGAATACGCCGTCAGCTGGTCAGTGATTGTTTCACAGCCGCACAGCCGCGGTTTTTACTAGCCGCGATTTTGATGCGGCCATAACCAGACGGCTGTCTGTCCTGGGCTGGTGTAAAATGTGATAATTACAATTTTTATTTACTCTGTGAATATATATTATAATAGGGCTGTCAAGGGCAACAAAGCGGAAATATATTCTTCTTAATGAAGCCGGTTGTATCACGGCTACAACGATATAGGTCATAACTTCAGAGTAATACGTCCCTACATGTTCTTTTATTTTGTACTTAGGTAGATGTGTGGCAGACATTTCACTTTGGACCAAGATGGATTTATTTTTGGAAATAGTTTCATAAGTATGGGGGGGGGGGGGAGATTTCAGTTCCAATTTTAATGATTCAAACATTTGAGCACCTTTTCCTTCAGGCTTCTCTGTCAGCCATGTTTAATTAATACATCTTTGTTGCCGCTTAGCTGTGTAATTTTACGAAACGAATGAAACATGTCGGTAATTATGGTGAGCAGCGTTGCGGTGTCCCGCAGGATAGCTGACGATTGTTTTTAATTCTTTTTTTTTTTTTTTTTTGCTTCGTGGGCCTCGTGATTTTTTTTCTGTATTTGAAATCACTTTTAGCTGTGACTTTCACGCCACTTCAATCTGAATGAGCTGTAAAAAAAATGATGTATTTAGGCAGTCGTTATCTCACGTATTTTATATTTGCAATATACTTATTTAAACAATTCTTCTATTATGGCCATAGTGAACACATTTTAAAGTATGGCATAGGCCTACTACAGGCATACAGTCCAGCTCGGCGGCCAATCACAGACTCGCAGCGTCTCTCATAAAATGTGCCCTGCCATCATTGTGGATTTTTTTTTTAAACCAATATCAATGTTTCCTGCCTTCAAAGGTTGATACTACGGTGGCCCCCGAAAGTCAAAACACAAGGACATTTCCGAAAACACAACAACATTAGAGAAATGTCCTTGTGTATTGTGAAATGTTGTTGTTGTGTCAGGGCCACCACACGATAACCAATGAAATGTCTGGAGACAATAAAGAGTAACGATCAAATGTGGACCTGAAGATATATCATCAAAACTATGAACGAAACCAACAATATTTTGACTCGAAATTATGATATTTATTTGTTCCCTAGGCCCTAAGTACTAGGGAGGACAGGAAGTCTGTGACTGTAACACAGTGGCGTCAAACTAATTTTCCCGGGGGAGGGGGGGCATCAGCAATACAGTTCCCCTTGAAGGGCCGGTTGTAAATGGAAGACTGTATAGCTGTAACTATTCCATAACTTACTAATAAATGTTTCTGCAATCGATTATTATGTACTTAAGTTACAAGTAGCGTTCATTGATGTGCAATAGAAAAAAAAAAACTTTTAATGTATCAGGTTAAGAAACTCGCACTGTAACATGTATTGTTAAAACTCAAAAACTATTTCCATGTTTTTTCTTTTTTTTTTTTTCCAATAGCATGTGCTCACAGGAGATCTTGCCAGCCACCTTCCAGGCTTGTGTCATGGCCAAAGATTGTGAGGTTAGCGAATGGTCTGACTGGTCAGCTTGTTCCAAGGAGTGCTATGAGCCCAATGGGCCCAAGGGTGAGCGCACACGCACCAGGAAGGTTAGCCAGTTCCCCGTCGGTGGAGGAAAAGAGTGTCCAGAGCTGATGGAAAAGGAGCTGTGCAGCCCCCAGGGAGAAGGAGTGCCAGCCTGCATTAGGTAAGTGTAATTAAAAACAAACCAAAAAAAAGAAAAGAAAACGCAACTAAAATCGCAGCTGAGTGGGTTAAAAGGCGGACTGTAGTGTAGGCCTTTTTTTATGTTTTGTAGTCCTGGTATCGTGGTTGTATTTGTGTATTTTTCACACTCTTTGACAGAGAACGCTAGCAAAAGTTGAGAGCAGTTATGCAAGACCCCAACTTCCCTGTTTCTGTTTGGATGGTTATGCAAGACCCCAACTTCCCTGTTTCTGTTTACCTCTGCTGCGGACAAGCACAAAGTGAAGGGAGTTAGCCCCCGGAGCTAACGTTAGCTTCGGCCCTGGAGCAGATCACTAAGTCTTCCCTGTGCATTTCAACTACGATCGGGGTGCCGAAGCAGGAAAGAGCTAACGTGAAAACAGGCACTGATTGGAAAAAAAAAAATTTATTTAATTAAAAAAAAAAAATCTTTCTGTCAAAATATCCCATGTTACAACATGTAGTGAAGTGTGGCCTATACATGTACAATTATTAAAATCTATCTATCTAGCTAGCTAATTAGCTAATAAAAAATTGCAAAAATTGGAAGAAGACCAAAATGTGTTGGTGTTACCTAACTGTGGAAAAGGCATTTTTATACATATATACAAAAATATCCAAATTGTACATAAAAAGTTACTTAGTTTTTATACATAAAAAAAAAATCCAAATTGTACATAAAAGGTTACTTATATTATAATCACGTTGATGTTGTTAAAGGTTTTTTTTTTTTTCAAATGTAGCATAAATTTAGCATTCTCCTATTGAAATTGAGTTTGTTTTTATAACTAACTTAAAAGTGTTTTCAACATAGATCTTCTATGTTTTGTAGGTCCTCAGTCATCCGGGTCACTTTATCCAACCCAGTTAGGTAAAGCGGTACTGGACCTAAAATGTCCTTCCTGTCTCCAGCAGGGCAGTGATCCCAATCACACTGCAGCACCATAAAAGCAATGTTCAGCCAGTCAAATTAACTGGACATACTTTAATTGGCTCGCACAGAGACCATTTAATCCCTAAAGTCATAAAAGTGCCTTCTGGGTTGGTTTTTGTATTGTCTCTTCAAATATTTGCTTGTATTAGTACATATAAAATTCCGAAAGATCGTTGTATTAAAATAACTCGTCTTTTGTTTCTGTTCTCAGCTACAGTTGGAAGACCACAGAGTGGACAGAGTGCAGGGTGGATGTGCTGCTGAGCCAGCAGGACCGTCGGCGTGGAAACCAGACTGGCTTGTGCGGAGGCGGAATACAGACGCGGGAAATCTACTGTGTTCAAAGTAGTGCTGATAGGTCTTCCAACGGCACCTCACCGAAGAGCAAAGAGGGTACTGTCCATATTTTTACTTCTTACTGTTTCGAGAATATTTGTATATCCGGACACTCAGAGGCGCCGGGAAAGTATATTTTTGTACGTTTTTGTGTTTTCTTGGGTGTTTAGCCAAAATCTCCGCTGCACGTCTGACTAGCGTCTGCGGCATGTTTGCGTGCAGTATGAACAATAATACCAATTTCGCAATGTTTTAACGACCAGGGATTATCAGTTAGCCGATATTATCGGCTAACCGATATTATCGGCCAAGCGATATTATCACTGATATTAGTACAATTGTGTAATATCGATTAGAATCGTTATTGTTTTTTTTTTTGTCCGACAATGAAAACCCGATAAGGCAATGCCTGTGTTGGGCCCAGATGGTGTGACCTAAAATAGTTTCGAAAGTGAAAGTGAAAGTAAATTATTGCCGTTGTGACACAGCACACCACTGCACACAATAAAATGTGTCCTCTGCCTTTAACCCAAACCGCTGCATGTATCGATATCGGTTAACATCGGAATCGGAAATTAAGTGTTTAAGTAAGTATAAGCAAAACGTTAATTCCGCCCATCCCTACTTTTAACTTTAGCTGGAAGCTGATGTCGTATTTCAGTTTTTTTTGTTTCTTCAGTTATTTTTAGATTGCTGTATTTGGTTAACCTTAAAAAAAAAAAGTATTTTATCAAATGTCACTACATACTGTATGTAGTCTGTACAGTGATTTGGCAGAGTTTTCATTTAAATTTCCTTCCTGACGTACACTTCTTCATGTTTTATTACGGATGCGAGCCGTTTTGGTGAAGTTGAAGAAATAATAATTACTTATTGATTACTGATTACTTCACCAAGAAGGTAATCCAGTTACATTACCGATTACTTATTTCCAAAAGTAATTAGTTCAGCCGCACTAAGTCCTGTCGCTTTTAAGTTTTGTTTTGTTTTGTTTTAGGCAGCAGGACTTTAGTTCTTTGGTTACAGTTCATCTCCTTACAGTATTGCTTCCTTTTCTTTTCCCTCTTTTTGCGCAGCTTTTTCAGGAGTCGCTAGAGTGGGTTATTTACACCCCCCCCCATCTCGTTCCCCCATTTCTTGCCTCCTCTGCTGCCGCACCAATCCAACTCCATGATTCCCTTATTGTGCTCGGCCTCTCCATTTCTATCTCCCTTTACTATTGTAGAATTATTATCCGCTTTAACTCCTGACCACATGTCCAACAACCTTCACCCGCCCCCTTTTACTGTAACTTCATGGCCGATCTCTCCACTGACCCGTTCCTATAATATCCTCATTTCGAATTCTGGTGTCAATATCCATTCCTGACTGAACCTGTTGTCTTCACCTACACGTCAGGGTCCAACTTCGCACGCAGCAGCTGTCTGCAGCACCCATCGTACTCACACAGTAGCGGTATATGTGCTCTCTGAGGCTATTTTTTTACCGTGCAGTATATGCTTTCTTTAGATCCACAAAGAACCCGTGCACAACCTCCTGAGCTTCGCGGAACTCCTCGACCAAATATGTCAGTCTGTCAGCCCCGGGAAATTTTATATATAGTTTTTTTTTTTTCTGGGCGCATTTTTTTTTTTTTTTTCCTTCTCTATTTTCAACCAACCCAACCTGCGTTCATTCTGGTGCTGTTCGTTTTGGAAAAGGCAAACTCAAAGATGTTCTTTATTGTTTGTATAGTGTGGGCAAAAGTATAAAATGAACATTCTTTACTGTAACAAACCATTCCTTAATATTTTTACAACATTCCTTACCGTAACAAACCATTCCTTAATATTTTTACTTTTTGCAAAAAGGAAATGAATTGGTAGAAAATCAGCAGTAAATAGATTTAGATGATTAAGAATTACTGTATGACAAATAATTCACATTTTTAGAATTGTACTGTATTTCCCTCCAAACTCCAAACGGACATTTACTAGTACAGTTAGTCAGAAATTTTTTTTTTTCTGGCTGCTGAAGAAAAAAATTGTTGCAAGAAGGTGACCTACTTGAAAGGAAAGCAGGTGCTCTGACCAGAGGAAAAAAAAATCCTCAACTTATTTATGAACAGTGTAAACTAATGTTATGTTATATATAATATATAGTTCAATATATTTTTGAGTTTTTATGTGCATTAGCACTATCAGTACTAGAGTACTATATACAGTACTAAATAAATACACAGCTGCCTTTGCACAGACAGTTTTATCTTTTTTCCCAAAGGCTTTTTCTGGATTCTATTTAGATTTTGCCTAACAAAAAACCCAAATGCATCATTCAACCTTAAAACTAAATTGCTTAGATTTTGCCTAACAATAAACCAAATGCATCATTCAACCTTAAAACTATTTAAGTATTTACATCCATTCTTGGTTTAATGTCATGTCCAGCCTTGAGAGCTAGAATAAAATCCTTCTCCTTCCTGGCCATTTCCTCCCTGTGTTCTCTGGGCAAGCCTGTGTTTTGACCTCATTTTCTGCCCGGACTCTTGCCTGCTGATGTGAAACCGTTGGCCACCATTTGGACTGATTATTCTGTAGCGTTGCCCTTGCTTTTTCCCAGTGATTCTGTTTCATTGGCTCGTAGATTTTTACTCGTTTCATTAGTGTGTCCCGGTCTTTTTTGAGCTACGGTCCCAAAAAGTAAATGTAACAAAATGTAGTGACCTTCTAGTTTCAATTTCCTCAAAATGTACTTGTGTGATTCCTGGGCCTGTTTAGTTGAATACAACACCTGTCTTAATGGCAGGAATTGAAGAAAGACAAACAAACATGTTTAATAGCCGTCTGCTGCTACCTAGTGGAAAGGTATTTAATTGTTTTAATTGTCAGTGTCACATAGAAGAATAAAGACAAATAAGTATATACATTCAGTGAAATATACCGGTCTATAAGCTGCTACTTTTTTCACAAGCTTTGAACCCTGCGGGTAATTTATGGATTTTTACGAGCTAACGAAGTTCATACCGATAGCGATCAACGGCTTTTCTGGCAGGCTACTGTGCGTTATACTAGTAGCATATGTCTATTTGGGAATGGCTGTGTGCGTATATGTGCGTGGGGTGTGCGCGAAAAAGAACGGTAGCGAAAGTTGAGAGCAGTTTGAGGCCTGTCTTGTTGAAGCGTGAGTTGTCCCTGTTTTTTTTTTTTTACCTCTGCTGCGGACATGCACAAAGTGAAGGGATTTAGCCCCAGAGCTAACGTTAGCTTCGGCCCTGGAGCAGATCACTAAGTCTCCCCTGCACATTCCAACTATGGTCGGCCGAAGAAGAAAAGAGCTAACGTGTAACTAGCCGTGTCACAGGCACAGTTCAGAAATAAGCAGTTATTTAATTGAAAGTGAAAAAAAAAAAAATCTTTCTGCGTAAATATCCCATTTTACAACATGGACACCTAGAGAAGTGTGGCCGATATATGTACAATTATTCTTTGCTTTCTAAATTTAGTGGGTGCGGCTTATATTCAGGTGCGGAAATTACGGTAATTAGCTTAGTTAGCAAGCTAGAAACATTTTTTAAATAACTGACAGATTTTTTTTTTTTGTGCCTTTTTTTTCTTTTTACTTAATCTTCTACCACATTTTTAATTTAGATCATCAGTTCAGGAGTGTTCTATTGTTTTTTCATTTTGTGCTTTTTTTTTTTTCGAATTCCAGCGCTAGACCAGTGGACATTGAGCTCTGCCAGGGCAGTCCTCCGAACAACTCCCAGCTGTGCAACATCAACTGTCTTGTAGAATGTGAAGTGTCTTCATGGAGCGCCTGGGGACCTTGCACCTACGAAAACTGTCAAGAGCAGGCGGCCAAGAAGGGTAGGAAGTTTTGTTAAAAACAAAATTACTTACGTTTTATTACGTAATATGTGATTTGTAAGCAAGCGTGTGGGGGACTTCAGTTCATCTATTTGTGTCTCTTTTCATAAAACCAGCTTTTGTAGATACTATTGACTTCAGCTAGAAAAGATAAATAGTCATTGCTTTTTCAGTGCCACCAGCTGTGTTGCTATGACCAGCTTTTGTAGATACTATTGACTTCAGCTAGAAAAGATAAATAGTCATTGCTTTTTCAGTGCCACCAGCTGTGTTGCTATGTGTTATTCATTCCTAGCTGAAAGGCAGAAGATTTTTGGCAGATTTTGGCAGATTGAAAAAAAACAAAAAAAAAAAAAAAACATCTTAAGTTGTAAAAAGCTCATAAATGAGGAGTAGACTAACACTCCAGAGGTACAAACATGTGATTTAATCCTTTACAACTGGGGTGCCCAATAAGTATTTTGGGATCTACCAAAGATCGCAAATGAGTGCTGGTAGATCATGAGCAATAAAATAAACAATAAATATATATAGGATTGTGGCGCTTTGGCCCAGAGGCAATGTCTCTTTCATTGGTGTGGAACCCCAGGGTTCACCTCCTGGGCAAGTTCGAATCCCGATTTGGGTGGCGACTGCTGCCCCCGCGACCCAGTAACGGATAAGCGGATGAAAATGGATGGATGGATGGATGGATATATATAGAGGATGGAACGCGAGATTGACAGGCGGATTGGTATCGGTCCGTTGTGGTGAATCATTTCGATTTAGTGGCCAATCCATGTTCAAACCCTCACCTATGGTCATGAACTTTCTTGTCCCGGGTCATGTCCCACTTGGTGGCGGCCCAAAGGAAGACCCAGGACACGCTGAAGTGACCATTAAAGTTCCACTCACGTACTCCCTCAAATTCCGTTGGATCTATATACATTTAATAACACCCCAATTCAGACATAGAGAAATGTAGACTGAACTGTCGAAAGATCCACATGGACTTGGACATGAAGTTTGTGATTGGATGAAAACACAGACTTCGGTTATTCACCAAGATAAACCGCGTTTATTACGTATTTGTGGTTCAAACAAGGACACTTGGCCCTGACACGACTCGTGGGATGACAAATTTATACCTCTTTACGACTTTATTCTCGTAAATGTCAACATTTTTTCCCGTAAAATTGCGACTTGTCTTAAACTGTTTGGACTTTATTTTTGTAACGATTCGACTTAAAAATTGCATATACTCATATAAAAATTGACCCTTGACCATCGTGCCATCATTTAAGACAGTGGTTCTCAATTATATTTACACCCCCCCCCCCGTGAATTTAAATACTATTGAGAACCTGATAACATGTATATTTTTATCTGTACAAACCACTGTATGAGTTGCTGCCCCCTAGTGGCTGGAGGCTTGTTATCATTCAAGCATTACAGTAGTGGTACACTTATGTTCCAATGGAAGCCTCTCACGCCCCTGGCACCTCACTGCGCCGCCCCCCCCAGGGGGCCCCGCCCCACTATTTTAGAAGAACTGATTATTACTCTATTGGAAACAAAACCTATCCTATGTTGATGTAATTTAATGATACAGGCATATCGCTACCTTTTACATCAGGTACATGCACTTTGCCGCTATCTCGCGGCTACGCTATTTACAACCTGGCCTGCCGATACCAAAGAGAGCGATTATTATGGAAATCCCTGCCCTCCTGGGCTCCTCATCTTCCCCTAACGCAATATTCCTGAATCAACCTTGGAATCGCGGCTTCACGTGTCCTGCTAAATTGCTTGATCAAGAGCGTTCTCCGGGCCGAGATAGGGGGGAGAGAAGAGAAGACGGAGCTGCTATTGAGCCTGCTCTCCAGGTTCATTTGCCTTATCAGGCAGGAGCAGGAGTGTGGATTATTAGGTGAGCGACCTTGGCCAGGCTGGAGATAGCAACCGTACCTTACTGTCGCAGACCTTCCATCTTAGGATTCCTTTGGCCTGAACAGATGATGCAACCACAGCTGAATTGTTGTTTTTCTGTCTGCATCAGACAGTTTTTTGATTTAGCTCAGTCTTAATAGCTGCCGTGGATTTTTTTTTTATTTAGCTCAGTCTTAATAGCTGCCGTGTAAAACACATTAACACATTATAGCACACTGAGACCATGGTGAGATGCACATAAAGTGGCGTTCTGGTGCGGGGCTGGGGGGGGGGGGGTTTGAATCATTAGCGTGTTCATTACTTCATTAAGCTCCTTTTGTTCTCTTGACAGGCTTCAAGCTACGTAAGAGGAGCGTTGTCAATGCGCTGATGGTGAGCAGCATGGGGAGCTGCCCCCACCTGGTGGAGGCCATACCATGTGAAGAGCCCAGCTGCTACAACTGGCTGGTGACGAGACTGCAGGATTGCGTCCCCGAACTCGTGGGAGGGTGTGGCCCAGCGGCTCAAATCCCTGAAGTGACGTGTATCGATAGTGACGGTAAGAACGGTATAGCACTAACAGCGGTACTAACCTCTGGTTTCTCAATTAGTTAAGCGTTGAAAATAGGTTTGTAAGTTGAGGTCGAATATTTAGGCCGTGTAGCATTACGGTCGGAGAAAAAAAAAAAACGTAAAATCACGGCTTCTAATACAAACTAATACAAACTCTATTCTTTTTTTTCTATGAAAACAGGAAGAAATTGTTCACCTTTTTTTTTCCTGTCCTTTTTTGATCAAAGGAAAGACGCAGAAGCCCTTAGGACACTGGTTCTTAATTCATTATTTTCCGTCACCCCCCCCTTGTGGACAGAAATGTTTTCACGCCCCCCCATCCTCCCTGACCCACACCCTGGAAAATTGAAATACTATTGAGAACCTGACAACATGTACTGTATATTCTTATCTGTACAAACCACTGTATGAGTTGCTGCCACCTAGTGGCTGGAGGCTTGTTATCATTCAAGCAATACAGCAGTGGTACACTTAACAATGATATTCTTTTTTTTTAAATGTTTTTTTTTTTTTCAATGATATTCTTTTTTTTTAATGTTTTTTTTTTTTAAGTTGTTGTGTAATGCTATGTTCCGAGGACACCATCAAACCTGTTCCGACATAAACGATAAGAATTTGACTTGTTTTACTTACCTGATGCACCACGGCGTAACTTGCTTCCGCCGGATTTCTTCCCACACAGATACATATGTGGAGAGGCAGCTGTGCCGTGACGCCATTCTCCCCATGCCGGTCGTCTGCGATGTTCCTTGTCCCAAGGACTGTGTCCTAAGTCCCTGGACCCCTTGGTCCCTTTGCTCTCACACCTGCTCTGGAAAAAGTACCGAGGGCAAACAGACCAGATCTCGGTCCATCCTAGCCTATAACGCAGGAGAAGGTGGGTACCCCGCGAGCGACTGTGACATCAAAGACGTTGGTAGATCGAGTAGGATCGGCGGCAAATAATGCCAAAACGTATGTGTACGTGAATATTTTTGCTGTAACGATGGTCATTTAGAATTACAGCGGGGGGCTTCGAGATATGAGCTACTGGAAATACGAGTTTTCCAAGTATTGCTAGACTTCCCTCGAGTGCTCAACTCTCATCACAGTGTACGCCACTTAACCACCACACTTAGACCCTTTTAATTTAGTGTATGCAGTATGTGGGTTTTTCTCCATATTGCTCTATGTCGAAAAACAAGTAGCAGCCACTGGAGGTTTTCAAAGAGAGAGAGAGAGAGAGAGTGTGAATTCACTTACGTGTCAAACTCAAGGCCAAAGCTTATCACGTACGGCATACGTGTCAAACTCAAGGCCAAAGCTTAAAAAACATTTAGTAAAGTCCATTAATATTCAATTGCAGAAACATGTATTAGTCTTTTATGGAGTAGTTACATCGATACCTGCAGTGCCCAACGTTTTTGGTTCCTACTGGTCAGCCGGTACCGCCCTGTTACTACAGACCAGTAGCAAGGTACTGAGCATTGAAGGATCATTACATTTTCAAAATGAGTTATTTTAAAGACTCTGTTCTGTTTCGTATCAGAGTCTGAATGACCTGTTATTTTAAAATTCGATTATCTTTTGCCAGTTTATCTTTAAACAAAGAAAGTAAAAAAATGCATATGGCTGGACTTTCTTTGAATGAAGTAAATTAGTAAAAATAATAGTAAAAGTACATTTATTCATTGCGGCCCAATACCAAATGACCTATGGACCGGTACTGGTCTGCGGACCGGGGTTTTGGAACCCCTGATCTATACAGTTCTTTCAGTTACAACTGGCTCTTCAAGGAGAACTGTATTGCTGATGTGGCCCCCTGGTGGAAATGAGTTTGACACCGATGACTCAGGATAAAACGTCATAAAATAATGTCAATAAATCTAGTTTTGAAGTTGGTAAAATGTCACTGAAAAGAAATTGTTTCTTTGGTTTTCTCTACAGCGACTGCAAAAGTTGTGGCATGGGTCACTGTGATGCTGGGTAAGAAGTGACTGTAGGCCCAAAAAGGCGCGTAGCGTCGTCGCTGTGTTTGAAACGTAACCTTCGTATTAATACAACGTCTTGTCGGCTTTTACGTTAAAGGGGTCTTGTATTTCTTTTTTCTTGAAGGTACTTCTCTCCTGTCGCTGGTGCGCCCAATTTTTGGTACATAAATATGATATATAATATGTTGTTTATGCCTTTGCAGTAGATACTGTACAGTAGCTGTCACGTGTTTACCCCATCTTGTCCAATTCTTCTCATTCCTCTTTTTTATTTTTTTGTTTCCCACCTTTTGCTAGTACAGTCTACAAACCCACATATACCGTAATTTCCGGACTGTAGAGCGCACCTGAATATAAGCCGCGCCCACTTAATTTAAAAAGAAAAAAAAATAATTCTACCTCTCTATATATCGCAGTTCTCCTTTCGCTCCATCAGTACATCGCAGATTTTTTTTTTTTATCCGTTCCGCCGAGGTTTCGCTACATCGCGTTTTTGTTACAGGAAATACTTTTTTAAATTATCAATATTTTCTTTTTTTTTTTTCGTGATACAAGTCATTTTCTAACCGAAAACAATGAAACAGTAAAAATACAGTCAAAAAGTAAACTAAAAGACATTATAAAAAATTATACATACGAAAGTGGGTTTTCTGGCGATTCCAGAGACATTTTTTCTTTTTTTAGAATTTTTTTTTTTTTTTTTTCATTTTTATACCTTCATGCAAATACAATGTAAGCCGACATTTTATTTTTCTTGAGCACATGAACATTGAGTGAGCGTGTCTTTTACAAGGCTGAAAATGAATCCTTAAAAAAATAATCTCTCAAACAGAGGATTATGAAAAAAAAGAGCAATTTTTTTGACCTTGAACCACCTTTGGATTATAGACTTAAGTTTGCAAAATGCTCGACTTTCTGCGCGAACGTAGAAGAACACAAACCATTTCTCCTTCATAAGAATGATCATTTTCAGTCCGTTGGCTGCACTTTTTTTTTTTTTTAAAGGCATGCTAATTAAAAAAAAGGGTTAAGCACTTTGATATTTATCAGCTAACAGTTCAATGAGCTCGCGCAACCGGAATGACTTGTCTTTCAATGTGTTAATAGGCTGCGGGCCTGATAGATGACCGCCCACCGTAATGAAATCAATAGTATCTTCCGTGAATTACCTTCTGCAGGACGTGACCTCTAAGCTTTTACACAGAAGTCAGCCATTTTCATTTTGTCTCGCCGCTTCATGTCGGAGTCTCGTCGCTCACCCCCTATGGCAGTTATTGGTGATAAACTTACATTAATAGGTGGTTAATACGGTTTGCAGATCCCACCGGGGTTTACGTGCAGGTTTTTCAACACTCCTATATTCACTTTAACGGTTAATTTGTCTTAAAGTGGATGACCTTTGACTCGCAGGAACTCCCCGGTGTTTGTGCTGTGTTTGTTTGCCAACGAATTATGGGCAAGTCCCAAAGGTGGACAGCAAATTATTGCATTGGTTCACATTCCAAACCGTAGGGAAAAAAAATGAATGATTACGTGGTGCATGCAGAGAGGAGGTGGACAGTTGACGACGACATTTGCATCAAAACTACAGGCCCGCTGTACTGGTTGGTGCCTTAGGGCAATTGCCGCCTAAAGTCGGGTTTCTAGGGCTAGTGTGAGTGCAATCAAACAGCGCCCCTGTTGGGCAAAAGTGAGTGCGTGAGTGCCCCCTAGGAGTACTTCCTTTAGCCATGTGCCTATGTTATGTAGAGATTAGGAACAATCTGTGACTAGTGTCAAGACCAGGGATGCCAAACATCTGGGTCACAGGCCATACCCGGTCCGTTACGGGGGCTCAATCCGGCCCATGTACATGTTTAGTAAAATTTTATTTCATTTAATTTTTAAGATAATTTGATACGTGGATGAAAACAAAGGTAAAAAAAAAACATGTACTTGTAAAAATTGTTGCGGTATGTGGCGGTTTGACACCCCTGGTCTTGACTTAACCCTTATCCCTGAGGAGTGCTCAACATACTTCGGTAATGGTTGTACTGTTGAGCATTTTGTTCTGCCATTGTTTCGCAGGTGGAGTCCTCTGTCCCAATGTAAGCTCCCTGCTGGAGGTGAGAAACTGCAACGACCATCCCTGCACTGTGTACCACTGGCAAACTGGACCCTGGGGCCAGTGTATAGAGGACACATCCGTTCTGGCTACCAACACATCTGCCATCAGAATGCACGGTGACGATGCCTCCTGCTTAGTGGGCATGCAAACCCGCAAGGTCATCTGTATCCGGGTCAATGTGGGCCAGGTTCCTCCCAAAAAGTAAGACTACCCCTTTTTGCACGGTGTGTTATTTTCACCTCATAATAGTCGAGCCAGTATAGGCGCAGAGGATTACAGTGAGTTTTGAATATGTTAAGGATACCAATGCGTACGTTTGTTATGAATGAATTGTAGAAGCATAAGATTTATGAAGGCAAACACTCGACAAAAAAACATTGATGGATAAATTGGGTGACCTACCATGTCGGGCGTTAATTTTTTACGGATAAAGAAACACTAATTTTGTTGTCGTTTGGTAGCTCAATGTTGAACACACGTTTTTTAGAATTGGTAACTTGAGTAAATGAAAAAAAAAAGTACGCTTAAAAAAAAAAACATCAAAAAATTACGTTTTGTGCTTGTTAATGTAAAGGTAAATATACAATAATGAATCATTCGAAATATTTGAACACAGGAAATTACTGGGACCTTTCATGTGTTAGACCAGGCGTGAGCAAACTAAGGCCCGGGGGCCGGATGCGGCCCGTTCAGCTTTTTAATCCGGCCCTCCAAACATTTTCTAATTATATAATTTATTTATATTATTGTTAAACTTTTGTCTTTTCCCTGCAATACCCACGTTTCCCCAATAGATGGCGTAGAAAATGATAAAAGCATTTTAGCCTTTTAGCATGACTTTTACTTGTCATTTATCTTAGTTCTACCCGTCTGCTCCTGACCTGACCCCCCTGTTCAATTTTAGGACAATTGTGGCCCGTGAGTCAAAAAGTTTGCCCACGCCTGTGTTAGGCGAACCATAATAAGCTTTCAAATCTTCAAATATTAAACTTCTGGTTATCAGCCTTTTTTTTTTTTTTTGGCTTCCTCTTAGTTGCCAATCGTTGTTAACCGAATGTATAATGCGTCACATTTGCCTGCATTCTCTTGAACAAACAGTAGGGGGCTTTATGTTCAATTGGAACATAATGCGATCAGTGAACATTTTGGGTGACTTGGTCGATTGGTAATCTGCTCAAAGGGTCATTTCGGACTAAGTTCAAGTGTCTTTGCTTTGCACTTGCTTGTTGTCCTGCTAATGGTTTGAAATCACTCAATTTACCTTTAAATGAAAAAAATTGTCCCCATGGACAATATTGCGTTTGAGCCACGCATCCTTCATTGTTAAACTTTAGATTTTCCTTTTGGATAACTTTCAGTTGTGTCATTGAACAAAAAATAGAACTGACAAACAGAGTCATTAGAGTTGGGCACACCGGGAGCCCTCTAGCAAAGTCACGGCTCAGTTTATTTGTGTTCGGTCCAGCAGTTCTTTATCACATCAATTATGTGTGTTTTTGGTGGGTGCTCACGCATCTTAATGTTGTTCTTCTAGGTGTCCGGAGAGCCTCCGTCCAGACACCGTCAGGCCTTGCTTACTGCCATGTAAGCGCGACTGTATCGTGACCCCGTACAGTGACTGGAGCGCCTGCCCAGCTGCGTGTAAAGCAGGTAGATACTCTGCAGAAGTTACACTGTGACACTGAAGCCAAACGTAGCATGATATACTTGGTGTGAAAAATGCATTCTGGGACAAAATCTTAAGTTTTTGAATTCAGTACGGCATGGGTTCCCAAAACTTTTCCATTACAAGGCCTCCCACCAAATAGCATTGGCTTCTGGCCAGGGACCATCCTTCCAAGCCTACAGACAATGTAGTTCATGTAAGGAAACATCATATTTTAGCATGTATTTTCTTACTTTTATTCGCTATTCAATAATTATAACTAGGGATGTCTGATATTATACCAATATTGAAATACCGAAAAATGTCCAAAAATGTATATTTGGCGAAAGGTTTTCATTATCGAGTTCAAACCGATCACGATTCTTAGAGATGTAAAACAATTATGCTATATCGGACTGATGATATCGGTCGACCGATATGATCGCACATTCCTAATGATTGCTTATGACACTAGGTTTTCTCAGAGTAAAATCTTCAGTTTACGTGATTTTAAGCAACTACTGTTTACTGTTTACCTTTCTGCAAGGAAAATTTCAGTTGTTTTTTAATGGCAAAACAAACTGGATAAAAATAATTGAAAAAAAATTTATGGCAAAACAAAAACTGGATAAAAATAATTGAAAAAAAAAATTCAATTTCAAAAATTTCTTTTTCCAAATAGACAAAAAAAGAGATTTTTTATTGTCCAGTATTGGGATCATACCTTTTAATCCACACTATTTAAAGTAACAACTGGTCAAAGTTGCTACATGGAGCCAAAAAAGGACAAATTCTAGATACATTTGAATGAACAGAACTGGTTCATTAAACTCCAGCTTACTGTGGTTTGGATGTCAGTTACCTGTCTGTATTAGCTCTTCAAATGCTTTTCCTTTGGCCAACACATAAACGGTCCTAAATCAATGTGTTGAGGTTAGTCTATAAATAACACCTATCTAAACGTATCCCTATAGGTTGTGTACATTGGGAAAAAAACTGCTCTAAATTCAGGAAATCATCTGGGATGTGATAGTGTGCGTCGATATGGACTTCCTGTATAGTCCATAACCTCTACCCTTTATGTATCGTATACCACAGAGTATGAGATTAGGGTAATATTCAGTAATCAATTTAACTCTATTAGCTGTCAGAGAGTAAGTGTACAGTTGCAATGCAACATCCGGAGAGCTGCTGCACGAAGGTTTCAACGGAGTGAAGATGAGATCACATCGACGGCATTTTTACCATCGTCATCTTCAGAATTCTTAATATCATTTTTTACATTAAGATTTGGTTTCATCCACCCTGGTTAAAACACAAGTCTGATTTGTCATATCCTCTCCTCCAAGTAGTCTTTCCAACAATATGTTCTATTATACTCGCTTGACTTAGCAACTGCGGTTAAACAGGCTCTGTACAAATTCTTTTAAAAAGACAGATTTAAGTTTCACGGATTATAAAAAAATAACAAACCCGTCTCTAAGCTGTTATGTGTATGAAAAATGTCGTTTTCAAAAGTTTCGAGGTTCGACTTTATTGTCAATTTTTAGTAGTACCATATTTTCCGGACTATACGTCACTCCCTAGTATAAGTTGCACCAGTGCCCTCTAGTGGCTGTCAGTGTGAAAGTAACGAACATGTACATTTCCAGTTGCAAATACTGGTACGAGGGCCTAGAGGGCCCTCTAGCGGCTGTAGCAAATACTGGTACGAGGGCCTAGATTGCCCTCTAGCGGCTGTCAGTATGAACATTTAAAATTATATTTTTTAATAGTATAAGTCGCACCTAAGTATAAGTCACAAACCCAGGCAAAGGATGAAAAAGGTGCGACTTATAGTCCGGAAAATATGGTGTATATACAGGACATACAAACACGATTAAAACTATGTTTAGCTTATGTAGCTTCTTAGCTACATTTGCAACTGAAAGGCAACATTTGTCCATGCGTTATGACTTGACCACCACTACTAATTTAGCAGTTCAGTGTAATTATTGGCACACTCTTACAATAGAGGTAAACTTTGCTAATAAAAAAGTACGACATACAGGATTCGACACAACCCATTCAGAAAAAATTGGTGAAGGAGTTCTATGAGTCCGAGAGGAGGAAAAGGCGCTATCTCCAAAAGTGGAGGGATCGGTGTAACCGGCTACACCACGTCGACGGCACGATGTGTTGTACGAAGTATGTTGGCAGTTTCCGACGAAGGCTGACCGCGGTGGATCGGATTTTTTTAAAGGCACCGCCGTCTACCTCAAATCTACTGGCCAAGTGGGCCTGTAAGAAAAAACCTTTGATGACGTGAAAAACACACTCGGGTGTAAATGATGAAATTACGTGTCAGTTAATGAGCCGTTCGAAGCCATTTTTAGGTATCTCACTACAAACGGAATCAATTCCCAACAAAGAGCAACCGGGCAATTATTGTCAGTCACATTCCCATCTCCATGTGAAACTTGATTATTAAAAGCTGCCAACCATCACTAATGTCAATTTCATGTGCTTTTTCTTTCCCGCCCCCTAGATGGCAACACCAAGAAAAAACAGTATAGGAAACGTATTATTATCCAGTTACCAGCCAATGGAGGGCTGGATTGCCCCGAGGTGCTCTCTCAGGAGAAAGAGCGTGAACCTCCATCTGTCTGCCATGGTATCCGGTACATGGTTCGCTAGTCCTTTTTTTTTGATCACAATACAATGAAATTATAAAATACAAGGGCTGTGAATGGATTAATTTTGTCCATTATATGTATTATCAATGTTTGAATCAGTTTCAAATCTTTTAATAAGCTTTCAAAGGTAGACATAGGTAATGGTCAACCACTAATACTGCAGCGTACCGTAATTTCCGGACTATCAGCCGCTACTTTTTTCACACACTTTAAACCATGCGGCTTAAAAAATGATGCGACAAATTCATGTATTTTTACGGGCTAACGAGGCTCATACGGCTAGCGATCAATGACTTTTCTGGTAGGCTATGGTGTGTTATACTAGTAAGGCTTATATTCAGGTGTGCTCAATAGTCCGGAAATTACGGTAAAACAGTGTGAGGCTCTATATGCTAAGACCCTAAATTTGAATTGAATTAGTCAAATAAAACATTAGACATTGAAAAGTTCTCCATTGGACTCCCTGAACGGTGCAAAGTGATGATGATGATGTCCTTTTTATACTTTATGTTTATGCTTGTGAGTAAGTGCTAGAAATGGACTGACCCTTCTTGAATCCCTTCAAAGAAGGTTTAGGAAGAGGTTATTCCAGAAAATAATACAACCGTTTCTGACTCAAGAAGCTCTCGGCAACCTATGTCTAAATGCTGTTTTTTTTTCCTTCTGAACTTTTGTAGCTGGAAAATTCACAAGTGGCGTCGGTGCCAACTGGTTCCATGGTCGGTTCGTCAGGAAAGTCCAGGCGCCCTGGAGACTTGTGGGCCGGGACTACAAATTCGAGGTGATTGACTGTGTTTCAGCTCAGCAGTCAGACATAAGTAAATAAAATAATAGTAGTTTTCAGATGAATTTGGATTTGGTGAAAATACATTATTTATGGATTTAAAATAAATCAAATTAAAATAATTTGGCGACATTTATTATTTTCCGCATCCATATTGTAGCGGTTATCGCGCCTGCCTTACGTGCAAAAGGTCCTGTGTTCGAGTCCCAAAGGAACCACGTACTTAATGGTGCCTCCCGTGGCGTGCTGTTTTCATTGCCATTGTGGGATGAATAAGGGAACTTGACTGCTGATTGCAATTATGATTCTATAGTGTAGCGGTTAGCATGCCTGCCTTACACATGTTACTTCAAGCCCAGGATCCTGGGTTCAAACCCCAGAGGAATCACATATCCTAATGGCACCTCCTAATGGTTCGATGTGATGCTGGTCAGAAGTTCACTATTGAAAATCAAAAAAAGAAAAAGAAACATAGTGTAGCAAAATATGATGCGTCCGATTCGGATACCCTAAGCCCAAACACTCAACTTTGCGCTTTGCGGCATGCTAGGTGTTATGTTTAAGACTATGAATGGTTCCTTAATTTCCCTTTGAGATCAATAAAGTATCTATCCATCCATCCATCCATCCATCATCCATCCATCCATCCACCCACCCATTCATCCATCCATCCACCCATCCATCCATCATCCATCCATCCCCCCATCCATCCATCATCCATCCATCCCCCCATCCATCCATCATCCATCCATCCCCCCATCCATCCATCATCCATCCATCCATCCACCCACCCATTCATCCATCCATCCACCCATCCACTCATCTAAACTGCACTTGAATGGTTCACTGGTTAACATCAGTTCTTCTTCTTCAAAGACACTTAAAGAAAGCAACAAAACGGCTCATTGTACAATGAACAATTGCGTTATAGGTGAGAATCCAAATCCAGATGACATATTCTTACACTTTGTGCTCACACATTAAAATGTCAAATGTCCCGCGGAGGCAGGTTATTATTTGACTCCAACCGTGAGCGTCATGTTCTTGGAAGACTCGCCTCACTGCTTCCTGTCGTAGATTACGTTGAACCCAGGAAGGATAATCTAATATGCACTCACTCTCGCTGCGCACTCACAGATTCAATATAAAACCTGTCAAAGTCACTTCACAGCTGCTAATCCGTACGTTTCAGTTGATAGCAAGGTGTTTGATAGTGGAGTATACAGACATGCAGCAAGTCTTTTATCATACCTTTGGATTCATTAATATCACAAATCGTAGAATTATAATATAGAAATATTTATTTTTCATACCAGTCCGGTGTCAAAATGATCTCATACTTTGTTTCTTTACAATATTTTTTGTCTATAAAATACCAACCAATATAACAAATACATTATCCAAACTACTACAAAGCCACTACTTTTGCATGTAATTATAATTATAATTGATTTTCTGATGGCATTTGTCAAGCTTCATGTTCACTGTCATTCTGATTGGCCTAAATATAAATTACACGTCTCAAGCCCCTGAGCTGTTTCGTAAGCACGATCTCGCATTCCGACGCACAAAATTAAACAGTTTTCAATCAGATTTGACATCGAACTTTTAACTAAATTTGAGTAGGAAACTGTAAAATATAGGCCAGCCTTTTTTTTTTTTTTTTTGGAGAGAATTGTTTAAAGAAACTTGATCTCAGTCTTTGGAAAATGCAAAATATCTGATGGGAATACAGCTAGAAGAAGTGTTGTGACTTGACGCTTGATCTGTCTCTCTATTTGTCTGTCTGTCTGATTGATCTGTCTATCTATTTGTCTGTCTGTCTGTCTGTCTGTTTATCTATCTATCTATCTATCTATCTATCTATCTATCTATCATCTATCCAGCCATCCATCCATCCATCCA